TATATATTATATATATTATATAATATATATATATATCCACCCACAAATGTTTGCTTATCTACACATGTAATTAGACTACTTTTGCTGTGTTCTTAAAAACTTAACGTTCATAACATATTCTGAAAGGGTAAACTACTAATAAAATGATCATGACCCTTAAATATTAAATATTTACTCTATTTAACAAGTATTTATCATGAGCCTATAATTCCCCAAGGACAATGCAGGCATTAGGGATACAAGGGTCAACAAAAAATAAAACCCAACTTGCTATGGTTGACTGAAAAATAAATCCAGTATTTGAACTCTTGGAGAACTGCTTTCATTTCCCTGGGCCTACTAAGCAAATTATATTTCTTCAAACATCTCTTTAGCATGCTACCACAGCAATAAATAACAGACTATTTTAAAATGTGAGTACTATGAAATTAAAGCATGCCCTACAATCAATTGCTTTCCTCCAGAAACAGTACAGTAGTCACAAATTCAGATTTTATTATATTCCTAAATCTAATCTACGCTGCAAGTATTAATTAACATTTGGTTATTAGAAGACAAACCTTTCTTAACTGAGTCATCAAAAGAAACAAACTGACCTGAAAAGAAAACAGCCTTTGAGATCACAGTATTTTAGTTTTACTTTTTCACTGAAACCTCAAGAGGAAGAGCAAAGAGGTGTATAATTCAAATATAACCCAGTCTACAAGATCTTGCAGTGAAATCTGGCATATTCCTTAAACAACCTTAAAAGCAGCAATCAAGGTACTGATGGACCATTTCAAACCCAAACACCATGAAATATCAAACATTTCCAAACAGCAAAGAGACAAGAAAATTACTCAGCAAAAGAATATATATTCAAAAACATGCCTATGAGAATGATCTAACAGAGTAAATACTAAGTGATCACAAGGAACTAAGAACAATCACACAAAACCATCCCACATTAAGAAACATACTGATACACCTTTCAGCACACCAAAGGGAGATGACAGGACTTGGGGTGGGGCTAATGTGACTTCATGGCTTTATTTCTAGTACCTAAATCAGAAAGAACTATCAATTATGATAATCAGCCCACAAACCTGAAAATACCATGGTAAAACAGCATCCATTCCTCCAACTAAGATGCTCTCAGGAAACATTCTGCACCTCATACTGAAATATTGCCTACTGAAACTGGCTACTATTGCATGAAATTATTATGCAGAAGAATCCTTTGCAGTTCAAAGACTGTATACAAACCTCAGGGCAGAAAGCAGTATACAGAAAATTAGTTTCCAAGCAAAAAGATTTACCTTAGATTTTTTTTTTTAATATTACAGTGATTTTCTTTTTATAGAGCACTTCTGGTCCAATTTAACACAATATTTTATTCATTACAATTTCTATTGACATCTTTATAACCAAACTCACCTTTTGTTTCAAAAGTCTTTGACTCGTTCAATATTTTAAGATAATGTTATAGCATTTTGCTTCATACAGCCTATAGCATTTGTTTTCCATTTGGAGAAGGGAAAAATCTATATTCATGTAATTAACACATAAAATTCAAGTTTCAAGACTTTATTTCTCTTTATATTGTTTTATTTCTAGCTGTATAATCTGTGATTATATCATGAATCTTCTCAATTATAAAACTTTTCAACTATATTCCCAATCCTGAAGATAAGCAATGAGATAAATTTTCATAATTGACAAATTGTATATTTATGTATACATTATCAATTTAGACCACTGTTTGGGTTACAGACACAATCTAGAATGTTTTGATTCAGTGGGTTGGGGGGTAACACTCTGCAAGTCAGAAAAGATATCTGCAAATTATTCCAATATACAGTCAGGGTTAAATACTACCATTCTAAACTTTTTAAATTGTGTGCTTGCCCCCAGAAACTTTTATTTCAGACTATGTAAATAATGTTTGTATAGTTGATACTGCTATCCATATTTAAGGGAGACATAACCCATAAGAAATAGCATGCTGGTAATAACGTTTTTACTCTATACCAGGCACTGTGCTATGCATCCATGGAACCGAATAGTGAAATTCAGTGAAATTTTTAAAAATCATCCTGCTCAGTCTGGATTCATGGCCTGTTGGTTAAGGGAGCTGGACCCCATGTGACCAACCATGCCATTCAAATCCCAGCACTGATGACTTAAAAAAGACACCATTCATGTGTGTGAGCAAGACCAAAATTCCAACAGGATGGAGAAATACAGTAGAAGGAATTACAGTGTGACCACATCCCCTTGGAGGGTGCTTTCTCACTCTCCCTCTCTCTTGACTCTCTCTGGAAAGCACACATGAACTCTGGCAAAAAAAGAAAAAAAAATTAATGTGTTCTAGGAATGCACAAAAAAGACAATTCCATAATGCAATTCAAAAAGATAAAGATGAGGAAAGTAAGAAAAGAATTAGTTCAGGCTCAGGAAATGGCTTAAGTTATTTTTACAGAGCCCTCCTTATACAATGTGGTTTTATAGATTATTTAAATGAGGGAAGATGAGCTAGATATTCTTGCAAACCTGAGGTAAATTTTCTTTCATTGTCACATATTGCCATACTTCTAAAAGTATCATTTAAAACCAACAAACTTGATTTTTAAAACTAACAGTATATGACTAATGGATGAGACTAGAGAAATGTCTTAGGATGTGATGGTACTTAAATTAGGGATCTGGCCTCTAAAAATACATACACACAAATGAAACTGGTATGTTTTAGTAGGGCTTATGAGTCAAATTCCTTGCCAAGCTAATGTGACTGAGATCCTCTCAAGAGTCCTTAAACTCAGTTCTGATCTTCTTTGTAATACAGGAGTATGCCCATCTCCATAGAAGATATGTTCAATGACTTGTAGTGGATGACTGAAACCATGGATAACACCAAATCCCATGTATACTGTTTCCTCCTATTCATACACATGTATGTTAAAGTTTAATTTATGAATTAGGCACCATGAGACACTAACAACAATAATAGTATAATAAAACAATTATAACAATATACTGTAATAAAAGTTATGTAAATGTGGTGTCTCTCTCCCTCTCAAAATATTTTATTGTACTTTTTAGGACTTGGGTAACTGAACTTGCAGAAAGAAAAATCATAGACAAGGTGAACTACTGTGCAAGGTTACTAAACTGTCTTGAGAAAGGACTCTACTGTATATTGATGACTTCCTAATAGCTAACAGATCCTAGCAGTCTTCAATCAAAAGAAATGCTCCTTCTTTCATGTTTGCCAGGCTGGTCTCTTTCAAAAATTTATTTAATCAAAAAAGGAAAACAATACACATTACATATCAAAGATGTTTAAAATCTCATTCCTAGTCCACATTTTTGGCTCTAGACTTTTATCTGTCTATATCAACATCCAACATCTCACAGGTACCTCCAACTCAATACTTTCCCAAATGACCATCTCCATTGAGAAATTTTTTGTGTCTTTTTATTTTTTAACATTTTGTCAAAAGGGATGAATGCTCTAGAGAAAGAAAGAGAGAGAAAGGGCAAAGAGAGAGTGAAAGAAACCAAAATAGCATCATACATGGGGCAGGATCATGCTGCAATCTCTTCCCTTCCATATACCATTCTTTTTAAGATTTTGAGCAAGCATGCAC